GTGGGTGATAGAAGATTGTTTCGTCCAGATCTTGTGGAGGAGACTACAACTAAAATAGTTATGACTGGGAAGAACATCCAGACAGCTTAGAATAGATAGAAGAGTTATGCGGATACCCAGAGAAGGGATTTAGAATTCGAGAAAGGTGATTGAGTGTTTTTTAAGGTCATTCCGTTCAAGAGAATCAGTATGTTTGACAAGAGAGAAAAACTAAATCTCTAGTTTATTTGGCCATTTGAAATCTTATACAGAATTGGTACCACCGCCTACAGACTGGCACTACTTCCAGAACTTTTTAGGGTCCATAATGTGTTTCATGTGTCCATGCTACGCAAGTAAAACTCGGACCCCTCTCATGTCTTAGCCCACGAGCCTCTTTCACTCCAGAGGGATATATCCTACAAGGAGGTACCGGTTGGTATTGTGGACCAAAAGAGCAGAGTACTCTGCAACCGAAAAATTCTCTTCGTTAACGTCCTATGACATAATCACACACAGGGAGAGGCCACATTGGAGCTAGAATCAGACTTCAAAGCTCATTATCCCTAACTGTTTGATTGAGTGAGAGAGATATAAATTTGAGAGACCAAATTTCTTTTAAGATGGGAGAGTTGTAATACCCGAAATTAATTTTTAAATATTTAAAATTAATGTATAAAATATAATTTTTAAATTTATGAATCTTTATTTAATATAAAATTAAAAAAAAAATAGGTGGATGATGAAATTGAAAATAATTTTAGAAAAAATGAATGAAAATTTGGATTTTGTGGATATTTTTGAAAGAAAAATCGGAAACTGGAGGTCAAAATATAATTTTAAAAAAATATGTCACGTAGGACCGTTCAGTCAGCAACCCCGACGAATCAGAGCGCGTCGCGTAGCAAGGCATGCTGACGCGGTGCCACGCTGGCAATCCGTGTGCCCGTGATCGGACGGTCCGAATTTGTTCCTGCACGTGTGGACGGTCCGAATTTGTTCCCTCCTCAGGTGCAATCGGACGGTCGCGATTAAACGCAATGAACGATCCAAATTTGTTCTCTCTTTAAACGCGATCATACGGTCCAGATTCACTTCCTATTTATACGCGATCGGACGGTCCATATTAAAAGGGAACGGATATAAATACATCACTTTATACCAAACTCTAACCGTAGCCGCCAGCCTCCCCTTCCGGAGAAGAAGAACTAGCCGCCGGGAAGGGAGCCGACTGCTGCCCACCGCCATTTGTCGGGCCGGAGCCACATTCGACTGCCAAAAAAGTAAAAAATTCTCCCAGTCACTCGAAATTTGATTTTGAACACTTTCATGGCTAATTCAGAGCAAAAAGACTGGCGAATAAGCTGAAAACTGCGGGTAAAACCCAACGGCGTAACTACGGGATAAATCGAAAACCGCCTCCGATGAGCCTTTTCACAATTCCTGTTTCGTACAATTTTTCTACTATTGTGTTCACCATTTTGTTTTCCACAAGTTGACTGAAGAAAAATGCCTAACCACGAAGGTAAGCTGGCGGAGCCGCCGTACCAAAAAATTTTACCGCCGATAAGCTTCTGTTTTTTGACTTTTTTTCGTCCAACCAAGGCCCCTTAACTTATTTTCTTGTAGGAATGAGTACAAAATCGACCGAAACTGGTCGAAGGCCAACCCGAGAAAAATCACTGATGATGGGTGGCGGTGCTGTCACTAGAGCACAGCGGCGGCGCTGTGCCGAAATCCTGAAATTGGTTGGAAATAGTTTCTAACACTGATTTTGAGTTTTTTGGGTATTTTTAGGTACTTGGAGCGTGTTTTAATCTTTGAATGAAAATTTAGGGAACCCATGGACCGTCAGTAGGCACGACTAAAAGTTTAGTGTTTGGACACTGATTCGGATAAGAATCTATCACCTTACTTCCTGTTATGGAATTAAAGTCTAATTATAAATAATACGATATTTTACTTAATTCAAAAAAACTTCAAAAATTAATTCGATTACTAATGAAGTCCGAATCGGTTATTGTTCACTGTTTATCCTGTTTGATTGATTTTACAGTTTCAAATATATAATAAATACACTGGAGTTGGTAAGATGATTTGTTGTGCTTTCTTGATGCATGTATTGCTTGTTTTGCGTGATTTACAGTTATAAATTGTGTAACTAAAAATTAAATGTAAACGAAAAATTGTTTGATTAAGTGATTGAATGAATGGTAGCCTTACTGGATATCCTGAGAGATGGTGGACGGACCGGGTGCATAAGAAATTCTATCGTGAACATTATCTCATACCGGACGGGGTATCGAGTATTTTTATTTTAATGCTCATACCAGACGGGATATAAGGACAACCTGTTTTACCTTCATACCAGACGGGGTATTGAGAGATAGTATTTTTGACGCTCATACCAGACAGGGTATGAGGACGGCTGGTTACTTGAAAATGTTAAATAAGGGTTCACGCGTAGTGGGAACATCGTTATGGACCCCCATGGATACCAGTAGGCAGATAAAAAAAAAAGTTGTTATTCTAGTTAATTGAATATGAGATTATGATATTATTTGTATTATTGCCTCTATAGATCAGTTTTGAAATTTTCGCTACGGTAAGTGTACAATAAATGATTTTATTTATGATAAATAAATTTACTTAAATTAAGAGCTATATTAGTTATTTTTATAATTTTTTTACCAACCTTAATTTCTGTATCAGTGAGTAGCGTGATATTCTTGCTGGGCTAGTGTAGCTCACTCTTTGATTAACCATTTCAGATCAAGAGAACCAAGATCCAGATCCAGATCCATAAGAGGGTTGCGAATAGGATGTTCAATTGTTTGCTTTCCATTATTTCTTTGCTTTTTCGTTATTCTTTTAGAATGATCATTTCTGTATCCCTATTGGGTATTATGAATTATTGTATAATGAATGTAAACTCTAATGCTATTATTTCGCTTTCGCATTCAATTTATAATTTATTTTTTTTCAAGTTCCCGGTGGTTACACGTATCAAAATAATATAACATTGTTGATATATATATATATATATATATATATATAAAGAGACTTAAATTATACACTAATTTAAGTTTAAATTTTTGGAGACTAATAGTTTGAGTTTAAAAGGTTATTGGGTTAGTAGTGTTTGAACTTGAGGCGTTAAAAGTAGAAAATAAATTAGTTATTTATACTTTAATGTGTCCTTTATACAATTTGATTAGAGAAAAGGCATGAAACGAACACAACTTCATTATACCTTGTGTTGACAACATAGTAGGATAACCATAAATTATTTATTGCTTTAATGCATACCTTTATACAATCTGGTTAGAATAAATGGCATGAAAGAATAAATTTGTTATACCTTGTGCTAAAAACATAATAGGATAAGTTTTGGGATATGGTATGTAAATTTTTGATACCATACAATTCTAAGATGAAGAGCACATCTCAAACGACATTCAACTATATTTCGTGAAGTTAATAGACTGTTATTTCAAGGTTGATATAAATTTGTACAATTCTCACTCATTGTCGCATTGATCTCCCTTTGTTTACTGTCGTATTACAAGTCCTCACTCATCGCTACATTAATCTCCCTCTGCTCATAAATGCATTGCTCTCCCTTTGCTTATAGTCGCATCATCTTTTGCCATTATTAACCTTTATTGAAAGCCACATGCACCATTATTGCCCTTACTTTCTATGCCATCATCACCCAAAGAAAATGGCATTGTCAAAATTAGGTTTGGTTATTTTTCTTTGAAAAATAGAGTTAAAATTATTTTTTTAGGAAAAATAAAATAAAATAGCACTCACATTATTTTCTAGAAAACCAATATTATTCTTTGTTCATTGAAAAATCGTTAATAGAAATTGTTAGTTGCCACTATCAAAATTTGATTTCGGTTTTAATTTAAAGAAATTTATGGCTTTGGTTATGGATTGATATTTGTCATTAAGAAAATATTAGTGATTTATATCTATTTTAATGATGGTTACTCAAAACATCCACAATAAAAGAATTAGTATTTTTTTTATTTCAATATATATGACTATTCTCATCAAAGATAGTAGTTCCAACTTTACTTATTATATTTTATATCATTTATAGTCATTTTAATATTTACAATTATTTATACTAAATATAAAAATTTATGTTTCTCAAAGTGACAATATTTTTCATAACTATTTTTATCAAATATATAATAATTTATTTACTAGAAACACTTTTATTAAACAGCTATTTTAATAGTACTTTTAACATGCACAAGTACTAACAATCTCAAGTAAGCACGAAAATAATTAGTCAACTCTAAGAATTTTACTATAATACTTTGTAACTACTAAACCCTAGAACTTAATGGTTTAGATTTTAGCTTATCATATATACGCATGCCTCATTAGATGACACTCTCCTAATCTAACTCTCTTTACAGATCTTTTTGACTAGTTTATCAAAAAATTCGCTTTCCTCAATTTACTCATTAAATCAAGGACCAAACTCTATATTAACCTCTCTAATTATGGTGAGTTGTAATCATCCATCTCATGATTCAATGATAGAGAAATGTTGGTGGTGGTAGAACGACGAACCGATGTGGTTGTTTATTTTTCAAACAATATTACTATTGTGATTTTATAACTCAGTAATCTTTTAAAAGAAATCTTAAAATCTTGACAACTATAAATAATTCTAAATAAAAAATGTATTAATTGTGTTTGAATATTACTTATTAAGAATTTAAAAATATAACAAAGATATTATTTAACCCGTTCAACTCACATTTATAAAACTAATAACTATTTCGCGATAAAAATAAGTATAATGAAAATAATATAAAAACCTTCACAACCTTGAACTATTATAATAGGATTGAACTATTAAAATATGATTTTGTATTAACATGACCAAAAATCAACTCTCATATTATCCTCTAAACAAAAAATTATAGTCGTATTTATCTAATTAACCTTAATTACAGTCTGGATAGATTAGGTTTGGATGAAAGCGGAAGAGACGGCCATGGTATCAGTTTTAGCTGAGTTGGCAGCCGTAAAGTACAGACTACCAACTGCAAAAGAAATCCCCCATTTCTGTAACTCTCTTACCTTCTACTTTTCTTCCATTTCCCAATAATTACCGGGGAAGAAGAAAGACACAACTCAACAAAAGGCCAACCCTCATGAACTTCATTTATTTCAGAGGGTTGCAGCCTCTTTTCACTCTCCCACGCTAAACAACAAGAACAAACTCGTATCACGAAGAAAAATATTAATATTTAGAAACCCTTTTGTGTAACAGGTATTCATCAATTTTTTCGAAAAAAGAAATTAATTTTTCTCTCCTGGGTGATTCTTCCTTTTTCTCCATCTGAAGTATTAGAAGCTTACTGATCTCTTTTCTTCCGCTTACTGGACTTGGATTCGTTTAAACATTGACTTGCCTTTAGAATAGTGGTTGCAGATCTGTTGAAAGTTTTGGAGTACTACTAGCTTTGCATGAATGGGGTAAGTTTATCTACTTATTCTCATGGATTTAGAGTACTATGGTGGATTTCTTTGGTGGATTTTAACGTTTTTTTATCTTTTTTTTGGGTTGTTTGATGTTTGTAAACTGGAATCCATTTTGGTTTATTTGTCGGTGGATTTTGAATAAACGGGGCACTTCATTAGATTCCTGGACAAACGGAAGAAAAGACTTGGTGATTTTGAATTGTGGATTTGTTGATATTATTTTTTACTTTACTACCAAGTTCCTTATCTTTGCATTATATATCAATGGGCTATTGATGTTCTATTGGCGGTTCTCTCTCTCTCTCTCTCTCTCTCTCTCTCTCTCTCTCTGAATTGGCATGTACTGGAACGATGTAATTGAAAGAATTTTACAGTTAAAAAGAAAACAAACATGGAATTACTTTTCCTAACATTCTTAAAAAGCATACAAGTTGAAAAATAAATCCCAAAGCATGATAAGGAGGGATATGGAATCTAGAAACTGAAGAAATTACAAATTAAGCTACTAGAATCAACAATAGAGCAGAGACTTGTTAGGAGATTAAAATACTTATGTCTACAAAGAGATGGAAGTTGTAGAAGTGGAGTGTGGCTATTCTTGGAGAGTGAGTGGTTGTTTTTAGTGATCACGGGTACCGCCCATTAGTTTTATTAATTTGTTAAGTAACTTAATTGTTAAAAATTCACTGAAATTTTCATGATGGTGGTCATATTATACTCATTTTAATTAAATTTCAAATAATAATTATATTATTTTTATATTTTAGATACCAAAAGTTCAATAATCTTTCACTTTAAGGCATCTGCCCCTGCTCAAAAAGATTATAAATTCTGGCTTAGAAAAATTTCACAAATTTATCCGTGAGTTCGAGTGTATGTCCAGCCTTATGTTGTACTTATGCCAGATTAGTTTGTGAATCCTCCCATATCTGTACTTCTTTTTAGCATTGGAATGGTCTCCGATGATGATGATATTGATGCTTGCCATGTCAGTTCTTGAATTTTGACTTGATCAATGAATCCCATTTGTGCAGTTGTTTGTTAACTCCAACTTATTCATCTACTTGTGAGTTTGAGATTTGTAATTCCTTTACCTTGGAAAATTTTCGAGATGAATAATTCATGTTTGTTTGGATGGTTGAAACTCCCTCTTGCTACAAAAGTTTTCCTTTTTATACTTCAACACTGCTTGCCTCACTCATTGCATACCATGTTGCATTTTTTTCTCTTTTACCCACTTCATCTTTCTTGAGCTGAGCAAATCTTGCACATCATCACGGGGCTTTGATGTGGTAGGGGAAGTTGTAAAAGTTGAAAAAGTAGAAAGTGGGCAGTCAGTGCATCTCAAATTTTTTCTTTAAAAAATCTATTATATATATCTATATAAATTTTTTATTTTTATCATTGTTATAATTTTATAATTATAATTATATATTTTATAATTAGTGAAATGTTTTTCTTCCATTCACCCAAGCTTTGTTAATTGAATAAGTTTGGCACATCATGGGGCTTTGTGCGTGGTTGACATGCAACTTGTAGAAGTTGAAGAAGTGGAGAATAAGTGGTTATTTCTTTAGGTTATGGTAACCACCTATAGAACTTCTTCCTATCCCAAATGTTTTGATTCCTCTGCTGTTTGATCTTGCATCTTCATTGTGGTTTCTCTGATGTAAGCTTGGTGGATGTTGGATTTTCTTTTGGGTGGACTAATTATTTGATTGTCTAGAAAATTGATGAGAAGGAAAGAAATAGGATTCCTTTTACATTGCATATAGTGGTGTTTCTAATTAATTGACATGCTAGCCTTAATTCAATACTAGTTGTTATATCAAAAATAAAGGCCAGATCATTCCCTATCAACTTAAGCTTTTGAGATAATTAGTTACAACAAATTACTTCTCCATATGAGTCAATAATTGTTATGGTTTTCTCAATACCTTGGTTGTGTAATGCAATCATTTCTTTTGTAGGATCCGTAAGAAACCACTTTCGGTATGATGCTTAAGGGACTCTGTGCGTGATTCTAGTTATTTTCTGATTCCTAAGCATGATGTTTAAGAATCCCTAAATTTACTATAAATTCTTTAGTAGACAATTTATCACTTATTTGTACTACTTCAATTGGTATTGGAGCTCAAAGTCCGATATGAGTATTCAATCAAATTCTAAGCTATCTAGGAAAAAAAAAGTCAAAATTATAGAACCAAAATCTCTTATTATTGGCTAGCTAGATAACCAACAACCATTGGGAGATGATAGTCACTGCCACGACCATTGACCTTAAGATTCTGGCAGCAGGCCCCTCAGATCTTCAGCCTCTAAAGCAACTAGGAATTGTCACACGTGCCACCAGAAATCTGTGCAACTGCTACATCAGCTACCATTATTGCCATGATTCCTCACACCAACCTCTAATTTGCAACCGCCATTGCTGGAAAAGTCTTTTGCCGGAAGCTCGATGCTCTTTGTTAACTGGAGACCAGCATAGAGTTACACTAATGCTAGCCATGAAAGCACTTCACCAAAAGCCAACTTATTTTGATCGGTTCCTTCTGAATCATTGGAATGATAATATAAACAATCATGATTTTGCGCTCTGGAAGAACTTTGAAATATGCATACAGGACTAGCTTGCCATACTTCTCAAATTCTTCAAGTTGTACAACTACCTTTCAACTTTATGACTTATCATGAAGGTGAAGGATGAACAAGGAGAGGAGCAAGAAGAAGAATCACTATCACTAGCTTATGAAAAGAAAGATCTAAAATTACACAAGATCTTTCAACTAAAATATAGGAATTCAATACAAGGAGTAGCGTCAGTCAACAATCAGGTCTAATAATGTTCAATTCAAGGACATACAGACTTGCCAATCTTTTGATTTTATCCTACTAATAGGATTTCAGACACCTAACAAATTATGTGTTTCCATTATCTTGTTTTTAACAAGCATGTTTAGTTGCCAAGATGATGATTTTTTTTTTTGAAATCTTCCAAAATCAGGTTTTTCATCATTCAAAACTTCAAAGGTCGTGGTTGTGTTTTTCTCCAACTATGGAGAATGATGCATTATAGAGTTAAGTTAAAATTCTAAATAAATTAGAAATTATACTTTTAGCTAACCTACAATTTATTGTAATATGTATAAGTTAGGTCCTTAATAGCTTTAGGATATTATTGATAGTTTAAATATTTTACAATTTAATTTTTCTATTAGAATTACATGGTTATCAGTAGTTTAGGTTTCATATTTAATTATTATAAATAACTTCATAATTTCACTTTTGAGATGACCCAAGAGTATTTATTTGAGAGTTTTCTCAATCTTTTGTTTGTGTGATGTTTAAAAAACCACCTTAAGTGTGACACTTAGAGATCCTACATGTAACTCCTAATTACTTTTCTGTTTCTTATCCTAACTGTTAGTCATGATATCTGAAAGTCCCTAAATTTATTCCAAATCCTAAGGTAGGCAAATTAATCTTAATTGAACTACATCAGTTTAACATTATGGGAATCGGATTATCTTGTATTATCATCTTCTGCCATTGTTGATAGAGATTATGGGTGCTTAATGATTCATGTCATTGTCAATCTCTTACATGCTTGTTTTGCCCTTGGTCTGTTAATTCCTATTAGATAACTCTGCACGGTGGAATTGCAATGCTCCAGAACTCTTTAAAAAAAAAACTAAAATTCTGTTGGACTTGATTGTTGAAATTCTTAATATTTCAAAGTAACAGGCTTGTAATTACACGGCTTTTTCATTCAATTTATAAGTTCTCTTGCCAGTTTTGACTATTTAAGATTCTCATGAGTCCAGTAGACACTTTTCTTTAATATAAATTGTACGAGTAACAATTATTTCAGTTCCAAAACTGTTGCCCTTACACAAATTCGTACCTTTTTTTTGGGGTTATATTCAGATCCTTGAACTTATACAGCCAGAGTTGTAGGATCAAAATTGTAATTAGCCCCAAATGGTTTAGTTTTATGGCTGTCGATGGTTCATGCTCTATTAGCAATTGATTATAATTGAGGTTTATGTCTTAAATGTGAAATTGGAGTAAAAGAATTTGATTTATGTTTAACGCCATCTTCATATTGGACAAAATTTGCAACTTTAAGATCATATTTTATGGGTGGTCGTAAATATCTTAGTACCAAATGATAAGGTTTTACTAGGGCAACTGTCACACTTAATATTAAACTGTAGAATGTGGGTGTCAGATTCTTTTGGCATTCACATTAACAAATCTTTTTCTCTTCTTACATTCTCATCTGCAATTCCACTCATCATAATATGGTCTTCCTAACATAAATTAAGGTCAAGCTGTTCATCTGGACAGTTTTTTTTTTCTACTGACTTAACACCAATAATTTGTTTTAGGCACCCAGAACCATAATGTGCTATCTTTGTATGTGTTTTCATGTGTTTTTTTAAGTCTTGAGTCCCATAATCATTTGTTCTATATTGTGATGTGGTTTGGATTCTTTGAGCGTAGCTTTTTGATTCCTTGGGTAAGAGTTGGGTTTCCCTCTCCATCTCTTGAATGTTTCATCTTGTGTTCCCTCTGTGGCTATGAGAAGAGCAAGGATGTTAGAATGCTTGGAGATAGTGGGCTATTTTTGCTGGCTTCTGGATGTGGTTGGACAAAAATGCTATGGTGTTTAAAGACTGGTAACTGCCTGATGCTTTGGGATAGAATGGCTTTCTTGGAGTCTCATTAAGCTGAATGGCTTTCTTGGCTTCTCATTAGGCTGTGGTGCATGGAAATTTTAGGGTAGTCTAGCTATTTTATGAAGAAATAATAAAGCTGTTCTCCACATATTCTTTTGTATATATATATTTTTTTGTTTTTGTCTTTTTGTGAGAGTGTCATATCCTCCCTTGATGCATTCTTTTATCCTCTCTTTCATATATTACTTAATAGGGGAGTCCTAGATATTTTGCAAAGAGATGTTTGGCTGTTTTATATGGATTTCTTTTTCTCTTTTTTCTTTCTTTGATCCTGCATTGCAATATTCTTTTCCCCTCTATTTCTAATGATAGTTCATTTTTTTCCATTTAGAAAAAGCAAAATTTTGTAGTATCTAATTCCTTTCTTGGTAAAATAGTAATTCCTGTTATATGACTTAGAGCTTCATAATGATTAGCTTCTGTGATGGCCATGGATTTTGGCCTCATGGATGCAATTTGTTTAAATACCATATGAATAAATGCATCTTAAATGCATAGAACCAAGAATGACAATCTCCATGAAAATGATCTTTTTACTGGTTGCCTAACTGGAAAAAGATGGGGGGAGAAGAAAAGAGAAATCAGTAGTAGCTAGCGAAGGTATGAGGCTTCTTTCACATGCAGTAATATGGTTAGGTCCTGTTCTACTCCCGACTACTTAACTCTGAGTTCCATGTTTTGGATGCTTCTTCAACTTTCTTATATATATATTTTGTTGATTGTAATTGGATTACAAAGCTAGGGAGCCAAAGAGCAGTAGGATATCATGTACTTCTATATGGTGAACTAAATGAAACATTTGATGCATGAATGCTCAGAGAGCCGTAAATATCTGTGTAGATAAAATTCAATGGTGAAATTCTAGATATTTTCATGCGGGAATAGACTGAAGGAAGAGCTTATGAGCCAGTGGAGATCTGGGAAAAATTTCAGTTAATGATTATCTCTTGTTTGCAAGTCTTTCAGAACTTTGTTTTTTTTTTTCGAGAACAAGAACAGAAAATTTGGCTTCAAAGAGGATCTCCATCTGTGAGTTAATCAAAATATCAAGATCTTCTGCTTTTGGTTGATATTCCTAATCATGCAGTTAGTTTGATGTTGTTTTCTTCTTTTTGGCCTTCTCTCTGAATCCCACATCGAAACAATTATCATAAACCCCGTTGTTTAAGCATGCTTTGTCATTATACCAAACTATAACAGTTTCACATATTAATTGAGTAAAAAAGTTGCTTTTCTAAAACAAAAAAGAGTTACAGTTTTTTTGAGTCATCCTGGCTACTATTTATCAACTACATGACCATTTGTAACAGAGCAGTTGTTGTCTGGGATGCTACAATAAGCCCAAACTGATTACCTCAGTGGATGATGCACAAAAAGAATTGAGTGTTCCAGGTCGGACAACAAGGAAACCTAGCATATCAGAAGATTTCTGGACCACCAGCACACTTGATATGGACAACAGTGCAGTTCAATCACAAGGAAGCATTTCATCCATCAGTACATGCAACCAAACTCTTGATCCAGGTGCTGCTGGAAGTGCAAATAGTCCATTGGAGTTTGTAAATCACGGCAAGTTCTCCTGTTGATTGAATGTTTAATATCTTTTATTGTATGGTCATGTTTTTATTCTTGATTGAAATACAGTTTTTAGATTGAAGTTGTCATTTTTAACTCTCTGTCTAGTAGGGCTTCCTTTCTCTGTTTATATATGTACTTGGTTGTTTTAGGTAGAAAAAATTTGCTTTGCAGTGACTTACATGGGTACTTGGTTGCAGGTCTTCTTCTCTGGAATCAAACCAGGCAGCACTGGATTGGGAATAAAAGATCCGAGAACGGTACACAACAGGTTCGAGAACCAAAATTAAAGTAAGCTGTCCTGGCAACATTTCTGAGTTCTAAAATTTGTTGTGCAAATTTTCTCAACTTAATTCCTTTGAATGCTCTTGTCTGACAATCTCTGTTTGTTATGACTTATTTTGGTCATCACTATGACACGGTGCATGTTGGTGTCTGTTGGTATCTGTTTTATCTGATTTGAGTTCATCGGGAAAAAACAAAAGGAAAAATTCTCATACCCGAACAATAATCCTTACCAACAATCTCACCGCCCCAAATTACTGAGAGGAAGGATTTCCAGCTGCAAATCTTGTTAAAAGGCGAGTAGGTTGAGTTTATTTATTTATTTTTGAGATGACACCTTAAAAAGATTGTTAAACCAGAAGGGGTACATTTGCTTTTGTTTTTAGGTCTGTAGCAGCATAATTCCAGTGAGAGATATCATAATGCAAGTGTTTAGAAGTCCCTTCCAGTGTCATTGTAATGTCAAAAGTTATGAGAAGATAATCAAGTGCCAAATTGGTTTATGTCCGAGTATTAGTAACTGAGATCTATTTGTGTCTGGATAAGTCGGAAAAGTATTGCTGAAATATGTTGGTTGCGGTCATGTAAACAAATGTTGATCGTTCATGAATTCCTCCTTTTTCTATCTTTTGTCAGCACTCATTGCCCCTGCATGGCTAAATCATTCTGGCTTTGCAGTTGGAACGCAACTTACGAAACTTTACTTGGGAGCAACAAGCCATTTCCGGAACCTATTCCTCTTCCTGTAAGTTTTCAGATTCCTTATAAGCTGTTGTTATAACAATGATGTGGTTGACTGATCTTGTTTTTAAATTAAATTACCAGGAAATGGTAGATTTTCTTGTGGACGTTTGGGAGCAGGAGGGTTTGTATGACTGAGGAACAAGCATTTGAACACTGGTTAGATATGAAACAAAGCTGATTTCTATTGTTGTAATATTTTTGTGGGTTGAGCTGGAATTCTGTGTATAACATGTGTAACAGTCTTGTCATATGCTCTGACCCTTACCCTTTTCTTTTTTCCCACATGTCAGGCCATTTTACATTAATGAAAACACTATTGACTGCCTCCATTTTTAGAGGCATGCAGCAAACTTTTGCAAATTTCTTTACTTTCCAATCTCAGTCAGAAAGGATGAATCTAACAACATCCATATACCTAAAAATTTGTTTTAACCATCCAAACTCAGTATCTTTAATCTACATAAGGATGAAAAAAGGTGATAAATTTTACTGCTTTGTCTTAGTATTTTTCTCTTATAAGGATTAGAAGATTTGAGTCGGATTTTGTGTTCTTTCGTATTATAGTTAAAAAATTATGCTGTGATCGATATGTAGTGATTAGTTAATTATGATTGAATTATATAATTTTTACTAAAAAAATTTTGAAGGAAAATTAATTTACAGATAAAAGTTTTTATTCTTCTTTTCTTCTCTAAGATAAACACTAGGTTAGGAAGGAAATAGAAATAGAAGCAATTTTCCATTTATTTACATCATAATTTGATTTATTTAAAACTAAGAAAGTAATTTTTTTTTTTTTTAAAAAAAAAAGGAATAGAAGTAACACAAGAATTGCCTAGTATGCTTCAGAAGAAGCAAGAAGCATCTTTTCATATTCACTCGCCAAACCATCCAGAACCTCTTAGAGATTTCTTCACTTTTCTCCACAACCTTCTTTAAATCCTTTCGTCTTTCTTTCAACATCATCCAGCAAACCAAACCCACATCTCTTTCCCTGCTTATCAACACTGTAAAGCCAATTGATCGAGAAATTAACAAGCTTTAGCAACTATGGCTTTGGCTCGTCTAGTTCTGAGAAACTTGCTGCAAAAAAGGGTTTCTCCTCCTCCTTTTTCTTTTCTTTTGGGTCAAAATGGAGAAAGGGGTCTGAGTGGGGTGCAAGGGGTCGATAAGGTTCTGAGAAGATCCATGGTGACTGCTGCTGATCACCATGACAAAGAAGATGACAAAAACACGGCTGTTACAGAGAGGAAATCTTCTAGTATGTCTCCCCGGAGGAGAAACAGGAGAGGACTTTGGAGGAGAAATGACTCTGACTTTGTTCCTGCCCTTTATGGTAAACTTCTTCCCATCATCTTCCCCTTATATTATTTTCCTGCATATATTTATAATCTTTCTGTGTAACAATCTGTGGGAACAGAATTCTTCCCATCAGGACTAGGAAATGCATTGCTGCAAGCCACCGAGAACATAAACAGGCTATTTGAGAACATGAACTTGTCACCTTCTCAGCTTATGGGACGCATAAAAGAGCAAGACGACCGTTACATTCTGCGGTACGACATGCCTGGACTTACCAAAGAAGATGTGAAGATCACCATTGATGATGGTGTGTTGAGCATAAAAGGGGAGCACAAGGAGGAAGAAGGGTCAAACGAGGAACATTGGTCAAGCACTAGCTATGGTTATTATGATACAAAACTTTCATTGCCTGATGATGCCAAAGCTGATGAGATCAAAGCTGAGTTGAAAGATGGTGTGCTCACTGTTATGGTCCCAAGAACTGAGAAACCCAAAAAGCATGTAAAGGAGGTTATGGTTCACTGATTCACTGATATAACCAGTAATCTCCTTTTACATCCATGCTTCTGTGTCGAGTGTGTTTGTATTTTATATCAAAATCAGTAATCAATATATATGATAATAATGAATAAGTTTTCTCAAGAGGGTTTTCTTCTGTGGGGGTCAAAATTGAAACTTTTCTAAACAAATGAAGTGAAAAGAACAGAAGCAGTAATAATAAGTGTCAGAGAATGACGCCACGATCATGATTTGAACAGTTAAGGAAGAAAGTGGTAATGTCATGACAAGTAGACAAAGGGAGGGAGAGTAGGAATACGATCAGATAAGACTATAATTAGATCCATTGATGTGAGATCACAGCCATTTACAGGACAAACGTTGTCTGGTTCTTCATTAATCACTCCCATCAACTTTTTCTTTAAACATCCTTTTTTGATAATTCAGGTTGGATCCACATGATGGATAACTGTATCTCTGATGTTGTTTACTCTTCTTTTTTGTGGGGAGTGAATCTGGTACTAAATATAGATGGCTTCATTCACTTTTCAGAAAGCGGTAATTAGTACAAATATATATATATATATATATAATGGTGGTGAAGACAGGATTGGTTGTTGACCGGGTCTTAGCTTTTTCAGAGAACCATATTTATCGATCTAATTTCTCTTCTAATAGCTCAGTTGTATAAAACATATCCCAGTGTGTCTCATGGCCGAAACAAAGCTCTAACTTAAAGAAGAAGAAGGTGATTATGGCGATTGGAAGACCTAAATTTGGCCAAAATATTGAAATGTAAATTATAATCAGTCACAAATTTTAAATCGAACCCATAAATATCACCACAAGAAGAAAGAGTTTTAGCACACAAAAGTTCTCGAATCGAACGGCCTTCCATAGTAATTCCGACACTAATTTTACTACTAATAGTAGACAAAATGCGAGTTTTAACATGCAAGAAATTAAGTATTTAGTAGATTTTTTTTGATATATTTATAAAATAATATAAAATTTATGTTTTCGATGAAGTTCGAACTTGTAATTTTTTAATAATTAATAAAAATTATTTTTGTTAACTAGCTAATAATATTTTTACTCACAAAAAGCATCAATTCTAACTCTAGTGACTTTTTGTTCTGTACCTCAATAAATACACAAGAAATGAAATTTAATGCTTATTTCACTTTTCAGATGATTTTTATTTGAGTATATAAAATAAAATATACATTTGATGTTCGATTAGCTACAAATTTATTAATTAAATTAAACATATAATTAAGATTTATAAATCAATATTTTATATATATATATATGTGATAGTTCTATTCTAATTCTTATTGTATGTTATGTGTGAAACTCTTATGGAATTTTTATATGAAATCAAAAATAACATTTAATTTTTAAGAGAAACTTTATATATGAATAACTACTTTAAAAAAAATTAGGATTCATGTTTTAGTTAATTGTAAGTAAAGATATTAATATATATATATAATGAAGTCAATAGTGAGGGAATCAATGGTCATTTCATGGCTTAAAAGGCTAAAAGTCAAGTTCACCATTTTCCCAAAAAAAAAAGGAAGAAGAAATTAGGAAGAAGATGTTAATCTGGTTTTCATGCAGAGTTAAAGTCTTTTAATTGGCCAACAACCCTTTCACACCAGAGACCTGTCTCCTCTTCTACAGGCATCACTGACTGAATCCACTGTTTGATTATCACCTTTCTCCATCTCTTTCCTTTCCTTTAATATCTATCACCCAATCCTTTTCTTCCATCTTAATCAATCTTTCATCCCCCCCCCCCCCCCCCCCCTCCTACTGTTTCTTTTCCTCTCCAATTCTAAATCCCAACTGTTCAAACAATGAATCAGAGTTTAAAAGTTGCACTACTCACTCTTGCTTTCATTTTTTCTCTCCCATTCTTTTTACCAGGTAAATTTCTCTTTCCTCCTTTTCTTTTTCTACTCTCTTTTATTCTTTTTAAAGTTCTGGGTTTTGGCAGATGAGTGGTCAAACAGAAAGATCTTAGGTAAAAATGAAATGGGTATGGAGGAAACTGAGAAGATGGTTTTGGGTTCAAGGCCTCCTAGGTGTGTGAACAAATGCATGAAGTGTAATCCATGCTTGGCTACGCTGGTTATTTCTCCTCACCAAACTAGGGTTTTCGGGACAACATCTCGCCGGGAAGAAGGTGATGATCGTGCTTATGATGATCCTTATTATCTCCTCTCATGGAAATGCAAATGTGGGAATAAGCTCTTTGAACCTTAATTTTCTCATAATACACAATCAATATTGATATTTTTAAACCACCTTCTTTATACTCTCTCTCTCTTTCTCTCTCTCTCTCTCTCTCTCTCTCTCTCTCTCTCTATATATATATATATATATATATATATATATATGTATGCTTAGTATTAGTATATGGTAATGTATATTCGATTGATTTTCTTAATTTATATTGCTGCTGGCTGCTCAATTATAAATCAACTACGTAGTATAGTTGATCATGTTGTTTGAAGATGATTATCATGATATTATAGTTTTGATAATCTATATTAGTTTCTTGATTTATCTTTTTTCCTTTTCAATTATACATTTAACAAAAATCTCTGCGTGATGTAGTGGTGTATATAAGAGGGAATATTTTGATCATACACATAAATCTTTATTTAAAGTTTCTTTAGAAAATAAACATTGATCTGATTATGTTAAGAACAGATTGATTCTACATATATGTGTGTGTGTGTGTGTGTGTGTGTGTATATATATATATATATATCTCCTTATGGAATAACAAAAATATAAAGTTAAAAATAATCCCCCAACAGAAAGAATATTAAATTTTGGATACATTATCTAGAAAAGTAGAGAGGAAACTAGACTTTTACTTATATGAATATAATTATATAAGTATTTATAATAGTATTTCATTATATTGTTTTTAATTAGGGTAAAAAAAAATTAATTAAATAGTTAAGATAATTTTTACTTTTAAAAATTATCATTTTAATTAAATTTTTTAATTAAATAGTTAATATAATAGTTAAAGTAAATTGTATTCTTTCTTCAATTAGTAAGACCATATAATAAGTTTTAATTAAGTAATTTTAATTTGAATAGACTTTTTAATTGTATAGTTAATATATATATATATATATATTTATCTTTATTAGGATTTTCAGTTAATACATTGTCATTTTTATTTATACTATAAATATAAAATTTAGTCAGAGAATTAATAGAATATATAATACTTAATAAGAAATTTCAGTGAAGTTTCTAATTTAAAATTTTTAATGAAATTATGATATATTAATTTTATTTTTAATTATAGCAATTTTAATGTAGTAGAGTTTATAATTAAATAGTTCTATTGTCAAATTTTTAATTACAAAGTTAATAAATCTTTCAATGGTAATTTTTTGACTTAAATAGAGTTTTTATTAAAGGAATTTTGGCTTAAACCTAATTAAATTCTAATATAAATAAATTATAAACCTTTTTTTTTAATACATAATTTTTTTGAAACAATATAACGCAAAATTAAAAATTGTAGAAAAAAAATAGCATTCTTTTTAAATTTTATCAATTTTTATTTAATTATGTAATTAAGATTAATTTTAATTGTTTTCCAGGAAAAATAAATTTTCTAAAAAATTCCTCTTGCATTCAAAAATCTCATGATACTTAAGAATTAAAATAATTTATTCATATATTTAAAAAGAAAAAAAAAATTGAAAACCCTAGAATTGAAGAATTAAGCTGTTCTAAATATATTTTAAATTTCATCTCAAGAATATATGTAGAGATGAGAACTAAACTTGGATATGACACAGAGCTCGTTAGAATCTGGTAAGCTAAATCTCATCTTTAGATGCCTAATGCATCTTACCGAGAACTCAATCGTGCCAAAATATAAGAGATAAATATTTGGTATTCGTTGCATTTAGTTTGAAATTTTTGAAAAATCGAAAAAACCTTTCTAAGAGAAATCAATCGAAACAGACGGAATTTCCTTTGTAACCCAAAATTCCGTCCACCCACATTTCTTATAACAGGAGAAATGAAAAGGCTGACCATGTGCATGCAACACTCTCCACTACAAAACTCTACTCTGTCATCACCTAAACAACAATCAAAATTTATCATATTACTATACTTGAGGAGGAAAAAAATGAACACAAGAAAAGGAAACTCCCTTCCCAAGGGCGGCTTCAAGTAATTCTTTTATCGGTTCTCTTCCCGAGCTATATTCTTCAATCAATCAATAAGCTCTATAATTAAATCTTGATATGGAAGTAGTCTGGATCAAAGTGATGCAATCTCACGTAACCGTCTTCACCACCACTTGAGAAACTACAAGTTTGCAAAACAAAATGGTGAGTCTGAAATTTAATGCTAATGCAAGACAACATTTTTTTAGGAAAAACTAGATAACCGAGTATAACAGACAAGTGCCTAAAACAAAGAAGTCAACAAGAAAATGGTCTAAAACCCCTTACAAGTGAAATAGTTGCGTATAGGTCATACTTTGCTAAAATAAACTAGTTGATAGGTCACAAAGACAACCTATTCCATACAGTAGTAATGGGAATCGGAATTTAGGAACTAAGCTTGAGACATATCAGATAAAACTAGGATTTTCATTTATTATTTACATTATCGAAAAATAAAAGTTGGATTATGGATAAAGAGTTGGTGAAAAAAGACTGAAAAACTTGATATAACAAGGATTTCCAAGCAAGCTACAAATTTGATATTTGTTCTTGAATAGATGTAGGAAGAAATGGTAGGATTCCAGAGTAACCAAAAATGATACTCCAACGTGGTTGAAATTTAAGCAACAAATAGATATAGAATAAATCAGGAAAATATGCATACAAAACAAATTGAGCCTGATGGTTGAAACTAAGTCCGAACTCAGACATGGCTACAGTGATCAGCTCAAAGAAAACTATCAGTCTTCATCTCTGATTGACCTTTTATAACTCAAAGAAATACTTTGTTTACCTATACTCAAGGAGCTGCCCCTTCACAAAGAAACCATGTAATACTTTGAAGTACTTTGTCATAAAAGATACATACTTTCCATAAGCAGATACCATTCAAGCAAATGTATAACAATAACCAGGAAGTGGAGAAAGAATATGGTTCAACAAAGTCTCTTTAAACTTTAAAGGTAAGGAGCCAACACTACAAGATACTCGATTAGTGTAATTTGCTAAGTAGAGAAGACTATACCTTTTCCCGTCAGGATTGAAAGCCAAAGCATTTATAGGTCCAAAGTGCCCTTTCACGCCACCAATTTCTTCTTGAAGAATCTAAACATAAAAGTGGAACATCACCAAACTGAAAAGATTGGGAAAACCACAAACGTATGTACACATCTTCACATCATATGAAGATAGGTGAGCATGAAATTAACCTTGTCAAAGAATTTTGCTTCGAACTTCCCAGCACGATGATCAGTTGTTGTAACAGCTGATGCATCCTGGCCACCTCCAAGCACCACCTGAAAACCACAAGAAATTAGAGGAAGAAGCCCACAAGAAAATGCATAAAACTTCTGTCTCAAATTTTCATTCAATAATCTAAAAGTAAAACTCATTCTTTGGGAAATCCACATGAAGAAACATTATGTTAAGAGTATAAGAGGATATTTTGCCTGATAGTACGTCTCCCATGTAGGATCTTCATTTATGAGTTAGTTGCCTATATAAGTGTAATAGGTATCCCTATAAATATCTATAAATAATTCTCCACACATAATAAAATCATAGTATTGTTTGAAAGACCTAAAGAACAAAATAAAGCTTTTATGTCTATTCAGACTTACATGGTCAAGAAGAGGAGACAATGCTACAGCATTAACTGGGCGTTCTGTTGTGTAAGTCTTTATAAGAGTCAATGTTCTGATATCCCAAAGCTAAAAACAATTGCAGAAACAAAAGAATATAAGGGGACAAAATCGATGATATCAGTCATGATAGAGAAGATTTTGTCAGGACAGGAAGAAGAAAGGAAAGCATTGAAAGGAGCAGTTAAGAGCACCCTGGCAGATTTATCCAGAGATCCAGTAAGAAAGTGTGAACCATCTGCAGATTTTGAAAGTGCTGTAATGGTCTTTTTATGACCGGTTTCCTTATCTGACTCCCTAAGCAGTTTGCCAGTCTGCAAATTCACAAAGAAGCAGGAATTTGAGAAAAAATTAAGAAGCAGACAAAAAGATCATGTAGCATGAAAAGCAAAATTCAATAAGGGAAGATATGAAAATCTGCTAATTCAGAACAGAAGTTCAAATCTTCAGTATCTTACACTTTGTCAAGAACCCAAAATAACTACATTCTCTATGGTTCAAGGTGATTTGCAAATTAAATTACCTCGGAATCCCATATGCGAATTATGGCATCCTCGCCAGCACTTATGATAGACCGGTTCAAAGGTCCCCATACAGCTCTGTTTATCCTTCCCTGTGGCCCCTTGAGAACCAGAATGGATTCACCAGTCTCTGCACAATGACATGTTTGCAAAATTTTACATCGAAGAGATCCTCCTTCCACATACCACAATGATGCAAATTGTAATCTACCTCAAGTAAAGATATCCTAATGTAAACATTTTTATTTTTCTTCTCTTAGGGGAATATACATTTGCAGAAATAGATAAATAAATTACAAAGTAAGAGATAAGGTAAGCCATCCAGCAGCAGAAAATAACAAAAAGGTATAGAAAAGAACATGAGCAAAGAGGACTAAATCAAAACAAAATCCTTATGGTAATGATAAAAACCTCGCGAACTATAACAAAAAGATACATGTCAAACCAAATTGCTTCCACACAATAAGATAAAATGTGCATTTCTTGGAGAGATAAATTGCAAAGGAAAGCAAACCCATCCACCAAAAGAAAAGAAGAAAATTAAAACATAAATGAGAACAAGCAAGGAGGATCCATAAAAAAAATTTCCGTTGTCAACATTCAAATCCTTTGTGGTAGTGATAGAGCATAGGGATAATATACATGCCAAACCTTGTTTCAGAATTGCTGCCATGTCAAACCAAATTTATTTCATAAAACAAGATATCTTGTGCAATTAGAAAGTCCAAAAATATCTCTCTTCTTTTCTTTTCTTTTTCTTTTTCTAATCATTTTCATGTTTTACCATATTGACATAAAAGAGAATACGCAGAGAAACTTACGTTCACTGGGGTCTTTTGCAATACGCTTCACATGAATAGCAGAAGTTAACTCCATAAATGGATCAGTAGTAATCACAGCAAGCTTATCTCCAACAGCAAAGTCCACAGCCCTTGCCGGAGAATCAAAATTAAACGAGTATAACTGAGCCCCTGTTTGCACATTCCATAACTTTGCGGTCTGATCTGCACTACCAGTGATTAGCCGCGTCGAATCTCCTGAAAGTAAAGTTTGCATTTCGGCATTAAAACCGAACAAAAAGACGATACCCCAAGCAACACAATACCCAAAGCAGACAACAAAATCTCCAATCAATTGAGTTCGAGGACACTATTTACCTCCATAGAAGCAAAACCAAGGGAAAAAACATAAAAAAAAAAAAAGAAAAAAAACTCAGAAAAAAATTCCTCTCTATTTCCGTTTTACAGTGAAAAGAAAACAAAAATCCGATGCAAACATAACCTGAAATTACATTCGGCAGTAAGGTAGAGAAAGAGGGTAAAGGAAGGGAATTACTTGAGATATCACAGCACCAAACGGCACCGTTGTGGCCGCGGTAGGTGCCCAAGCGTTCGCCATCGTCGGCAAACCATACGGTGGGGGTATGATCCTTGGCGCAGGAGAAGAGCAGATCGCCGTCTCTGTTGTACTTCAAGAACGTTAATGGCCTTTCATGGCCTTTCATCAAAATCGGCCTCATCTTCTATGGACTTCGGTTTTCCTTTCCTTCTCCTTTCTAGGTTTGTCGCGGGGACGAAGGGCAGAAGTTCACCTGCAAAACCTATTTTTTTATGGTCAAATTAAAAATGCTCACTCGAAACCACACTTTTTAAAACAAGCCAACTTCAATGGGGTTTCCAAATTAAAATAAGAACCCTAATAAACTTAAAAAGATAAGAAATGAACTAAAAATATAAAAACTTACAATTTGTAATTACTTATTTAGGGCTCAAATTATTTTATTTTTTTTCTCATACCAACTTGAAAATTTTTAGATATAGTTAGTAAATTTTATATTTATATTAAATAAATCTTTTTTATAGTCAAAAAATTTAATTAATTTTTAATATTATTCGATCAAATATTTTAAAAAATTATTTTTAATTAAATTATAATTTTTTTTTTTAATTTTATGCAATTGAACAATTTTTTTAATGAAAATTGTGAGCGATAATTAATATTGTTAACGATACAAGCATTTAAGTAAAAATAATTATAATTCATCGCGTATTGTTTTTGACATTTATCAATTATTATTGTTTAAATTTTTACGAAATATATCTTTAATGAAGTTTATGATTTTTTTTTCAAATTTTGTTTCTCGTTGAAATAAAATTCTAAATAATTGAGGTTTAGAGTTGTTTCAAAGATAGTAAGAAAGATGACCATGTCCAAGAGAATAGATGAAAACTCGAAGATAGATATATGATAAGCAAGATCAAAGATATTGGGAGAGAGAGAAAAAAAAAAAAGTAGATAAAATATAAAAAATATTATTCTACTTTATATATATATATTAGTAATGTATAATCTCATATGATTAAAATATATAAAAATTATTAAATTAACTATAAATTTTAAATACAAGACTAAATAGGATGCATGACTGTAGCATTCTCAAACAGATTCTATAGATGTTCTTTAACTTACCTTAGTGAGTTTTTAGACTGTCGTCGCACGTTATAAGTATATTTTTTATCATGTCCCAGGACTAGGTACGGTGGAGATGAATGCCTAGGTTGTTTTTGCAGCTTCGCAATCTTGTAATTAAAACCACTCTGAATTTGAATTTGTTATTTAAAATTGCAAAGATATTTTAAACCATATGTATGGTATGACTATTAATTGAGTTAGACGTGAATTTAATAAGGTAGCTCACAAGATTGTCATAGTAACACCCAATAATTTTTTTTTTTTTTTTTAATATAGTTATTTATTTATTTTAATTTAGTGAAAAAAATAGGTAAAAATTTGTTAATGATTAAATTAAAAATAATTTTGAAAAAAATAGGTGAAAATTTGGGTTATGGGCATTTTTTTGAAAGAAAAATAAAAAATCGGAGGTCAAAACACAATTTAAAAAAATTGTACCACGTCAGATGCTCGGTCAGCAGCCCCGACCAACCAGGATGCGCCAGGTAGCAGAGGCGTTGACGCGGGAGGCCACGCGGGAGAGAGCCACGTGAGCGGTCCACATGCGCGCGATCGAACTGCTGAGGTCCGTTCCCGTATGTACGGACGGTCCAGATTGAATCGCGATGAACGGTCCAGATTCACTCCCTATTTAATCGCGATCGGTGTAGCACCCGGAAAGGAGGAAAAAAAAAAGGGGGGCCACGTCAGCAGCCACGTCAGCAGACCCGGTCAGCAGTCCCGGCCAACCGGGGCCTGCCACGTGGCAAGACCGCGTCACTCCGAAAGGAGCCATGTTGACGATCCGCGTGGGTGCGATCCGACGGCCCAGATCAATCGCGCGATCGGACGGCCCAGATTCAATCGCACGGACGGCCCAGATTCAATCAAAAACGAACGGCCCAGATTAAAACGAAATGAACGGCTGTGATCAAAAGGCAAGGGGTTATAAATAGAACCCCCACACCAGACCACAAACCCTAGCCGTCCGCCGCTCGCCGGAGAAGACGAACCAGAGGCCGACCGCCGCCACCCGCCGCCGCACCGGGGAAATTTCCGACCGTCGATCGAGGTAAATTTCATACCCCCGACTCGTTTTTCCCCGCTGATTCCTCCTATGGCCAAATTGAGGCCGAAATCCCGGCCAAACGGCCGGAATACGCGACCGAAACCCAACGGCGCCGCCGCGTCCCCTCTCGGTTTTTGCCTCCGACGAGGTCCTTCCCGGCCTCCGTTCGATGCAATTTTTATATCACCGTGATCACCATTCTTTTCTCTACAGGTTGACCGAAGCCGAATCACCAAAACACGAACCTCACTGGAGAGCCGCCGTACCCGAGAGCGCCGCCGCCGGTAAGCTCCGCTTTTCCGTGATTTTTTGGCCCCCCGAGGACCCTAGGGTTGTTTTCTGACAAGGACCAATGCGAGTGTGGCCGAATTCGGCCGAAAACAGCCGAAAACAGCCAACCCGAGGCGACTCGCCGCCGCCAGCGGCGGCGCCGTCGCCGGAGCACGGCGGAGCCGCCGTGCCGGAGTTGCGATTTGGGCCGAAAGAGGCCCTGGGCCTAATTTGGATTTTTTTTTGGAACACGTGCAGGTACTGTTAGTGTGTTTCAGTTCCCCGGGAAAAATTCAGGGAAAATTAGGGACGGCCTGCAGGCGCACTGTGAATCGTATTCGGATCCCGAAAACAAGTAAGGACCCCTCACCCTGTTTCCTATCACGGTATTAAAGTTCAAAATGATAAAACGGTATTTCTTAAATTAACGAATGTGTGAAATTGCTTAAGGTGGCTAATAGAGCCCGAGTCTAGTGTGATTGGTGATTTACTGTTATTTAGCCTGTTTACAGCTTTAAATGCAAAATGAGGTTTGATGTGTTCATTTTACAGATTTGTGTGCATATACTACGTTTTTATTAATCATGGGTTGAATGACTGAAAAGCTGATACTGTATGTTGTCTGTTCGGCATGAATTACTGTTTTGCTTGTTTGTATGTGAATTGATGATGCTGACTGAGGAAAAAGAAAATGAAAGATTGTGTAGACTGATAATTGTATTATGGGAGTCAGCCTAACTAGATATCCTGGGAGATGGTGGACGGACCAGGTCCGTAGGGAACCCTACCGGGATTGTGGTCTCACATGCCGGACGGGGTATGGAGATCTTATGGTTTTGGCGCCCATATCGGACGGGATATGGGGACGGCCCGTTTCACCCTCATACCGGACGGGGTATTGAGGTTTATGGTTTTGGCGCCCATACCGGACGGGGTATGGGGACGGCCCGTTTCACCCTCATACCGGACGGGGTATTGAGGTTCATGGTTTTGGTGCCCATACCGGACGGGGTATGGGGACGGCTCTGGAAACTGATTATGAATGTTAAAGGTTAACGGGTAGCGGAACCCCTATGGACCCCCACGGATACTAGTAGGCTGGTAAATGAGAAAAATGTATGTTGTACAATGATTGAAATTTCAAGGAGCGTGATAAGTGTTATGCTTTACAGCTTATATTATTCAATGATTATGATAATGTTATTGTTTTTCTTATATTGTTTTCATAAATTCCACCGAGGTAAGTGGGGGGTAAAGGTTTTCATGTTAATAAACGAGTTTGTTGTAAATTATGCTCCATTGGTCTTTTGTGTTTTTCTACCCACCTTTACCTCCGTGACGGTGAGATATCGTGATGTTCTTACTGGGCTAGTGTAGCTCACTCCTTATTTAACCATTTCAGATCAGGAAGACATGGTTCCCGAGCCCGTTCCGCAGGAGGACGACGAAGGGGATGCCTAGAGACTCTGTAGTCATACTCATAGTTTTATTTTCGAGTTTCTCTCTTAGTTAGTTTAATCTTTTGTATTTTAAGTACGTTTTTGGTTTTTTTTCGTGTAAGGGATGTTAACTGAAATTTTGATCTCGCTTCTGCATTTGATATATTTAAATACTCATTTCATTTTAATATTTCCGGGGCCGTTACAATCGAACAGTTCAGATAAAAAATGATAGATAGCCCAGATCAAAAGTGGATGGGTATAAATAACCTCATCCGCACCCAAACCCTAACCCTAGCCGCCAGAACCCCTCGCCGGAGAAGACAACCCAGTCGCCAGGGAGTCGACCGCCGCCACTCGCCGCCACACCGGAGCAATTTTCGACCGCCAAATGAGGTAAAAAATTTCACCCTTTGCTCAGAATTTAATTTTAAACACACCCATGACCAAATCGGAGCAAAAAGACTAGTCGATTGACCGAAAAATGCTGGCAAAGCCCAGTGGTGCTGTCACGGGTATTTCAGAAAATACCTCCGGTGAGGCCCTTCCTGATTCCCATTCGATGTGATTTTTTTCATGTTGTGATCACTGTTTCCTTCTCTACAGGTTGACCGGAGCAAAATGTCCAACTGCAACATGAGCCGGAGGAGCCACCGCTGGAGAGCTCCACCGCATGTGAGTTTTAGTTTTCTACGTTTTCTCTTATACGTTTCTCGGCCAACCGATGGCCCTAAATGTGTTTTCTCACATGAATTGATGCAGATTTGGCTGAATTCGACCGAAAACAGTCAACCCGAGGCGGATCGCCGTGACAAGCGGCGACGCCGTCGCCGTTTCGGATTTTTGAAATTGGCCGAGTAGACCCTAGGACTAATTTTGGGTTATTTGGGACATTTGTAGGTACCGTAAGCGCGTTTCAGTTTTCGAAAAAAAATTTAGAAAAGCTAGGGACTGCCCGTAGGCGCAGTAAACCATTTAGCTTTTCAGCGTCAAATCAGGTAAGGACCTCTCATCCTATTTCTTATCATGGAATTAAAGTTTGAATAAATAATAATACGGTATTTTATACAAATTAAATAGATGTGCATAATTAATTTCGGATTGTTAATGAAACCCGAATCAGACATTATTTTCTGTTGATTTCTATTTATTGATATTGCAGTCTAAAAGCATGATGGTTTCTGGTTTGTCCATTTTATGGTTTAAATGCATGTATTATTATTTTACTTCACCACTGTTTGATTTTAGGATCTAAGATATGATTGCATTACCGGATGCATGTTTATTTATTTATGTAATTATGTTTGATTTGGTAACTGAGTCTAAGGAAAAACAGAAAAGGAATGTGATCTAATAAACAGATAAGATGACAGCTTCACTAGATATCCTGAGATATGGTGGATGGACCGGGTTCATAGAGAACCTTACCGTAAACGTTGTCTCATATCGGACGGGGTATGGAGACTTGATCATTTGGCGCTTATACCGGACGGGGTATTGAGGTTTAATGTTTTAGCACTTATACCGGACGGGATATGGGGAAGGCTCTGTAATTAAAATTGTTAAGAGAAAGAATTCACTTGTAGCGGAGACACCCTTATGAATACCCATGAATACTAGTGGGTTGGTGAAACGAGAAACGGCTATGATTTAGTTATTGTTAATGAATATGAATTTATGATATATTTTATATTACTAATTGTGCATGAAGTTATAATATGTATGATGTTATTGTCTTTATAAGTTATTTTCATAAATTCCACAATGGTTAGTGAATGATAAATAGTTTTATTTTTAATAAATGTATTGGTTTAAATTTAGTGCTTCATTAATTGTTTTAATTTTCTATCAACCTTTACTTCTGTGCCAGTGATATAGTGTGATGTCCTTATTAGGATAGTGTAACTCACCCCTTATTTAACCATTTCAGATCAAGAGGATCTAGTTTCTGAACTCCATCTGGAAGAAGATTGCGAGTAGATGTTAGATACTTTATATTTTCCTTTACTTTTCTCATCTCTCGTGTTTCTTTTAGAGATTTTATTCTGTGATGTTTGTTTAATACTTTTAAGTTATTGTATAAGGGATGTAAATTTTAAATTTTTATTTTGCTTTCGCACTTAAATTATTATATATTTTTTTTTAAATTTCTGGAATCGTTAGAGTCATAATTGCACAACTCTTCTCTTATTTCTATATTTGGGATAGTTTGCTGACATATATTATTTATCTATTCAATTAATAAAATTTTTTTATCTACTCAATTTAAAAAAAAAAACTTTAAATTTTAAATAAAAAATTAATGATTAAGTGATATTGTATAGCGTAGATATTTATATTTATAATTATATTTTATATTTTAAAATAAATTAAAAATTATAGGAATATTTGATGATAAAACTCCAAGTAATATTACATATATTATAAGAAAAAAAAATTATTATTTTTTGGTTCAAGAGTAGTTAAGAACACCTTTAGAAAATATTTACTTGGGCTATACATTCGGGTCGAAATTTTGTTAATTCTCAACCCGACCCGCTGAAATATCAAAATTTAGCTCCCAAAAACCTTTTTTTTTTTCCTTCCAAAAATAAAAATAACACGAGAAAAAGAATAATTGGATTCCATTTCCATTTTCATGTCCCTGAAATGGCCACCGCCCTTCCCCCAATAACCAGGAGCTCCTACTGCCTGAAGAAGCCGTTGCTTTTATTCCCACCTTTAATTTCTTCCCCGATTCATCAGCACTGTTCTTCCCTCCGTCTCCTCATCAATCCCAATCCTAGGGCTAGACTCGCCGTCTGCCTCGCCGCCGCTCCTGGCCCACCCTCCCCTCCCGACTCCGACCGCTCTGCTCACCGGGACCCCACTCCGCTCAGAGGTTCTGGTGCTACGCCCTACTCTTACATCTTTTTTTATTTTAATTCCCAAGTTTTCCGAATTTTTTGTTTTATGGTCTTGTTCTAAGTTTGGTTTTATGTAGCGTGCTATAATTTTACGTTAAGCGTTTAAATTTTAGGGTAAATATGAAATTTCGCCATTTTCAATTTAGCTGTGCCCTTTATTTTTCTAGATAAAAATTGCGACAGTGTGATGTTTGTAGTAGTGATAAGAGAGTAGTGAAATTTACTTGGACACATGAACTGGGTCCATATGGATTGGAATTATGCCCTAAAGGCACAAGCTTTTGGCTCAAGCCGTTGTCTTACCATGTATATCTAGTAAGGACCCTCTAGATAAAGCAAGTGATATCGAACCAATATGTTGTCAGTTATTCCTTCACAAAGTACTAAGAGAATCCTAAATTTAAAGGGGACTTACAGGAAGGCTTGCATGTGAAGAGTGGTTATTTACTGAGATTTTTAGGTGAGTGCAATCTGGCATTCCTGGGACTACATGGGTCAAGAATTTGATTTTTGGTGTTTGTATTAGAGAACTCACAGGCTTGACTTCTCCTGTTTAACTGGTGTTAAATGGTGTAATTCAATTTACTAAAATGCTTTATCTCCCCAGTGATGAAATATTTTAAGTTGGCTGCTTTGTTATGTGAGAGGCATAAAACTTCACATTAAAGCAGAAATTTTCAAGTCAAAGATTATTGTTCATGGATGTAGTTCCTCCTGTAAATCAGAGTACTTGGCAGCTTATAAGAAATTGGTGTGATTTCTTAGCTACTGAGCAGTATTAGTGAATATTCTAGCAAGTCTTGTTTGGGCAAACTAATATGGCTGTGCAGATGTATAAAACTAAATTGATATCATCCTTTTAAATATCCAAACCGAGTGTCTTGAATGAAAATGACAAGCTGATTTGGAAACTTAAGAAGAATAGGATTTTTTCTATCAAATCCTATTATGAATTCCTCATGGGGCTGGATGACATTAATACTATTCCTTTCCTGGCAAAACAAATCTGGAAAATTCAGGCCCCACCCAAGATTGCTTTCTTTGCGTGGGAAGCCAAGAGGAATGCCATTTTAACTATTGATTGTTTGAGGAAAAGAGGTCAAGTGCTGGTTTACCGCTGCTACGTGTGTAAAAGCCAGGCTGAAACGTGCAACCATTTATTACTTTTTTGTCCAGCTGTTCAACATTTATGGTCTATGATCTATGGTCTTTTGGGGGTTAATTGGATGAGAGCTGGTTCTATTAGGGAGGAGATTTGGGCTTGGCAGGGGATTGGTAGAGATGTCAAATTTTTTAGTTTAATTATGTTGACTATGTTTTGGATTATTTGGAAAGAAAGGAATACAATGGTTTTTGAGGGGGTTGAAAGTGATGTGGTTAAAATTAGGGATAGATGGTTTATTTGTTTGGATCTTTATTATTGGGCATGATGTGTATAGGGTGGAGGATTTGGGTATATGATTGATTGCTAATCAACATATAATTATTTGTGTACATGGGTTGCACTCTTTGGTGTTATGTTAATAGATTTACACTTTTTATTTTCTTTTAAAAAAGATATCATCCTTTTAAAAATAGTAGATACCGTATTCTCTCAAAAATAACTTTGATATCATATTATAAAGGAAATAGATGGGAAGATAGAGATTTTTTCAAAATTCTATTAACCAGATATTGCATAAAATTTAAGACCTTTGAGTATTATGCATTTAAAAGAAAGTGGAGCCTGGGTTTATCTTTGTTTCATGAGATGGCAATTCCAATTTGGTTCCTATCAGTTTTCAGTACTATGATCAAAGTTGTAAGGTTGGATATCAATTTTCATTGTACATTCGTATGTGAAACACAAGATACTGATATTGCAAGTGAGAACATAGCTTGTGCATATTGGATTTGTTGACTCAACTGGGACTGGTCCTTATCTCTGAAACTATTCATGGACCCAGTTGTGTTATTACTCAGCACATTTTAGATCCGTATTAGATTGTTAGTGTTGTTCTTTTCCAGAGTGATCGGGGTGTTACCTCTTGCCTTTTGAGTTGTGGGTGCGATGGATTTAACCTGTGGAATAGGAGGTTATACTGCGTGCAGAGGAGAGGACTGCCTTTGAGCTAAGTTCCTTAGCCTTACCATAAATCAGAAAGTGATAAATTTGAGCTTGTAAATGGGAGAACAAATTTATTTTGCTTTGATGTGATTTACTTAATAGCCTGTAAGTGGTAGAAGGCACATGGAGATTTCGGAAGCACGTTGAGGACTACCGAAGTTCGCTAACTGACCCTTGTGCCTGGAATAATACTCTACTGGAAGATTCATTGGAGTAAATACTCTTCTCATTCTCACGGGGAATAGATGTAGGACAGGGTTTATGATGAGTCATTTGTTTTGACTAATTTAGATTATAGAGTGGGATAGCTCATTATTGCTAACTAATTAAATGGAATTTGATTTATTGTTTGTCTACGTGTATGTTCATGTGCCATGAAGTTTTACCATTTCTTACTGTCTTATGGTATTTTGCCTTACACAGGTATTGCAGGAACATTCTCTAGAATTCGAGACCGTGTGCAGATTTTCTTTGCTGTTTTCTTCTGGCTGTCTTTGTTCTTCTGGGCTTCGGTGGGGGATGGAAGCCATAGTGGTAGACCAAAGAAGGGGTCTCGATTTAAATGATGACGTAGAGAACAGTTAGTTTGTGTATATTAAGACCCAAAGGGAAAAGTTCTATAATACGCAAAGAACATTCAACATTGTTTAGATAGACGATATAGTAGACTTTTTTTAATTCATTTTCTGCTAGTTAACACAGTTAAAAGTATCTAGTTCAATCAGTCCCAAAGTTCTGTATCCCAGTTAAAATAAAATTTCATTAACTGTCTTGTATTGATAGCAATTTATCATTTTTTTTTCTGAAGATAAAATAGAGACTAGCCAGCAGCAAGAGTGGCTGGGGTATCAGGCTAGCAGTATTTTTTTCTTGCCGTGCCTTGTCTTATTTGTTGAAGTATTATGCTCCTCTTAGGATTGCCTTCTACCAAATTACTTATATCATATGACAATAAATATAGAGGGAGTGAGGAAGCTACTGCCTAAGTTTGTAGCAACAACAACTGTGGCCGCATGGCATTTAGCTAGATATTGATGGAATCCTCAGGTTTATGTATAGCGATGGATCCATATTTCAAGGTTATTACCCTGATGCAGGAATTCTTGAATCAAAGTTGAGTGAGTAGTACCCAATAGAAAATATATGATTACTGATTTCCATTTTCTTTTGATGCATAGGCACACCCAAGTCTAGTGGTAGATGCATCTTTTTGCTTAGGTTCTTCCTTCCTTCATATGCTTTTCATGTGTGTGTGTGTGTGAGATTGATTACATTGGATGGTGGGTTGTATGATGCAGCAACAAGTTAAGCCATCCGATGAGATGTTGTTGGTGCAAAATTCCTTGCTTAGTGTGGTTGATGAGTATTGTCATTTGTATAGGCAAGTCTTTGAATAAGCAACCTGTATTAGGAGATTCAAGTCCTTGTCTATAGGCAAATGGTCCTACGTTAACTGTGGTGCAAAAGCTTTGAAAGAGCGACGTCCATGCGTTTTCAAGAAAATATCTCAGCCTGAGCTGGTTTTTGATCGAGAGTCATATGCTAGGGTTTGGGTTCTGAAGAAGTCAAATATTACATTCTTAGATATGTCAACTCTTTTCTTTGCTGCATGAGACCGTTGTAGGTTACAAATCAAGCGGATATACGGATGCTCCTATTACTCCTGGCAAGGAGCAAACTACTAATGAGGACCTCTGAGGAGTGATGATTATATTATCAA